CTCCTGCAGCCTCGCGCCCCCTCCCCCACCTCGCCCGATGAGTTTCCAGTGAATGTCAAGCAGGCATACAAGGCGTTTGCCGCGGTGCCTCGCTCTCTGGCTGTGCTGGAGCCGCCGCAGGTAGGCCGCGCTGCCGCGCCCGGCCCGGTCTGTGCACCACAAGCATGCTGTGCTGTTGGTTGGCCTCCCCCCGCCCCCCGCCTGACGGAGGCAGGCTGCCCCACGCCGAGCCTGGCTCTGGTCGGGGGAGGAACTGTGACGTGCTGTGACATGTGGAATGCCTCCATCATTGTTCTCTCTGTGCTCCACTGTCGTCATCTGTGACGTTGGCGTTGCCTCTTGATTCATCCGTGCGTCCGTTTTGTGTCCCAACGTGCAGCCCTACGGTTATGGTTGATCATATTTAGAGTCCGACGGTCAGCTCGTCTTTGTCTAACTACCACCAACAATTTCTGCTCTGCCAACAGGACCTTTATGGTGTGAGGAACAATTTCCAGCCAAAACAACCTTCTCCAGAGGTGAGTGACCGTATTAATCATAAAGCACAGCCACGCTGGCCTAATAGTGACACGTTTTATTAGCTGTGGAGATCAATTCCTGATGGGTTTGTTTGTGAACAGGAGGAAAAAATGGGCAGAACTTGCAAAAGTTGCTGACCCCTGAAATGAAAAAGATTGAAATCCCCTTTGTTTACCATCTATCCAGAGAAAATTTGCAGTTGTAAATATTCAAAAAGTGTTAACACATATTATTCAGAAGTATTGGGGAGTGTCTTTTAACTTCCTCACTTCTGGCTTAATACAACGTTTCTGTAATGAGGACGAAAATCCTCCAGCTGTCCGGTGCTCCGAGTGTGCTGATAACAAATGTGGCCTTTTCAGCCTGAGCTGAACAACGAGGTGTTTGATGATGATGTAGAAGGTCAGGAGGGAGCTGGCATGGCTCTGACCAGCAGGGCCTCCCTCTCCTCTGACCGCCGGGAGTATTTGAGCCTGGCAGCAGTGCCTCGCCTCTCCAGGCCGTCTCAGGACCTGCAGGTACCCGCTGGAGCAGCCCTGCTCCACATCTGGGCTGGGATGCGCTTGGCTTGATAGGTGGCGGTGTCTCTGCTCCCGGAAATTCTGCCTCCTCCATTAGTAACGACTGCCAATCGACTAATACGAAATCAGGATAACAGGGCTGGGATCTAATCCAATGGCAAATTTAGCTCTTTCTTTTTTGGTCTGATTCATCTGTCCTCTGCTCTCTCTGGCTGCAAAAGGCTCTGCAACGTTAGCTGGCTGCTTTCTCAGGAATGGTGCAGGAATTTAGCTTTCAGCAAGAATCTCTTTTGTTCTTCTCATCGATATTATTATCATTATTGGTCTTGTAATTCCCTCAGAGTCCGTCTCCTGGAGGCAAGAACAGCCCAGAGCAGCGCTCCTTCAGGGACAGGCAGAAATACTTTGAGATTGATGTGAAGCAGCAGACACCAGACAAACCCAAACCTCGAGTGTCCCTTGTTGGAGAGGATGACCTAAAGAAAATGCGAGAGGAAGAAGGTTTGTTTCTAGCCGCTGCCCCGCGCTGTCCCTTTTAAGATGAGCAATGAAAAAGGTCCTACTCAGGTGACTTTCCATCTACCAGAAAGGAAGTTTGAGCAGCGGGCGAGACAGTACCTGCTGGATGAGGAGGAGGAGGAGGAAGAGGAGGACCTGGCTAAACAGGTAGCTCAGATGAAGGCGACGGGGAAAGTCCTATTGGATGGAGTTGAGTACAAGGTAGAGCCTGCATCCACTCCATCGCAGCACTGCTCCACTCCACCCAGCTACTGTGGCAGCTCTGGGTGAGGATCCCTTCGTGGTTTTGTTTTTTTTTTTTTCATTCTACATTTTAATCCTTTCTGATAATTAGTATCTTATTTTCTGTTTGTAGACCGTCGTCCATTGATGGACGAGGAGACTCTCAGAGGAATTCTCTGGAGGACAGCTTCAGGCTGGAGCAGCGCCCCAGCTCTATGACGGGGTAATTACAACGTTCCAGGCTGTCAAAAAACTTCAGATTTTCTGTGAGTGGCATTATTTCTCAAAGCGTTTGATGTGTCACCAGCCTGATACCGGTCTACCCCGGGGAGTCGTCTGCACCCATCCGCACAGCAAAGGCAGAGCGCAGACACCAGGAGCGACTCCGCATGCAGAGCCCGGAGCTGGCCGTGGCCCCAGACAGGGACCTGTCCCCCGCAGAGAAACGAGCCCTGGAGGCAGAAAAGAGGGCCATGTGGAGGGCAGCACGGTAACGTCCAGCAAACGTCCAGCACGCACTAAAACTACTCACTTAAGACAAAAGTCTCTACCCTGAAAATGAGTTTTTAACCAAAGGTGTTGTGCTGCCTGGAGGAAAAGGCCAAGCTTTTCTTCAGCCGGAAGAGATCATCGTATAGGAAATTAGGAAAGGTGCTTTTTTGTAAATATCAAACGGAGGCAAAAAGTCAAATGAATTCAGATAAATGGAAAATGGGAAAACACTAAACTTGGATAATCTAGGGCATCAACAATGACTTTAGAATAATTAGGGAATGTTAAAGAAAACTTCACAAGGTTTCCCACAA